CAAAGATCTTCAATACTGAAGAGTACCTGCATTTTGGTTGCAATGCAAACTACGGAAGACCGCACGCGCACGGAACGTACACCATTGTAAACATTTAACGACACGCTTACGATTGTTCTCTTTTCGCAGGGTAACAGAAAGTGTAGGTATTGCCTCGTATTGTTTGGTACAACTAATGTGTTAGTCTCTTTTGACACATTGCTTGGAATCACCCAACGCTTCCCTCACTAGAGAATCATTGGGTTGTGACCAAAAGATCATAAAAGGAAGGAGTGATCGCGATCGTCCTCACCGGGCTTATTCTCCAGTTTAATCCCTCTGGTACTATTTTTAGTGACAAAATGGCGAAGTAGTTAAAGAGCGAAAACTTATATCTTTTAAGGATACCAATTATTTCAGTTTTGAGATCCTTGGCAATATTCTTTGAGTTGCCGTCATAGGATATCCCATAATAGTGAACTTTACGTAACAGGACGGGAGAGGAAAGAAGACGGCAAACCTTGTGTGACAAGCGTGACAATAATTTTGTTTGAAATAACTTTTCGCCAAACTCTAATTTCCTTCAAACAGATCTTTTTGTAAAAGACCAGAAAACATTGATGTTAGTGAAGATCACGACAAAACACGCACGTAATAGCCTTGTCACGTCCGTCACTCGCATGCAATTTGCCGTCCTGTTGCGTAAACTCACTAATAGTAAAACCAGAATCTGGCGTCAACTTTGTGACGTCATTTTCCCAACAAAACTTTCAAGATCTAAAGAACTAAAAAATATGTTTTTTTTTTCATAAAGAAAGGATGAAAACTGTGTAAAGGCTTTAGCCGGACTAAAAATGTTATTTGAATTTATATCTTGAGAAGAATTCGTAGGGAATAAGTCCTTTTTGGGGAATAAGCGCTCTCACTCTGTCCTCTGTTGACCTAGTGAAGTTAAATGTCTCCTCTGTCTTAAAGGTGGCTAAAACTCACCCTTGACTTGTCATCAAACGTTTCTCAGTGTATCACTGCACTATTTTAACGAAAATTATCAGTTGTTGCTGGGAGTAAAGGAAGTCTGGACACAAACCAAGCACTTACATTTTGTTTGCGTTTGAGGTTGATTGCTTTGTGTTAAATACTTCATTTGGCCAGAAAAGTTAACTTATTTGCATAATTTCTAAGTATTATTAATATCCAGAAAATTTTTTGGGTGGTAACTTGGTATGATACCAACTCGTAAGGTAAACGGTTGATTTCCATCGTTTTTGTCATATACACAGAACACTTAAAAGACAGTCAGTGTTTTAATATTTAGGTTTAAAAAGGCGTTTTAATTTTTGCCAAATTAATGTAAATATCATAATTAAACAGAGACAAACGTGATTACTTTTTAAGTTGCTTAAATGTAAATTTATCCTCGTTTATAATGATAAAATAGATTGGTTAGCGTTGGTATAGCAGCTCTTAATCGTCTCAAGAGACGTGAGTATCGCTTTTAAGGGTAATCGCGGGTAATTAGGTTAATTTGTGAGGAAGAGCGGTTTTCAATAGGTTGTGGAAAGCGAATTCTCGTCTGTACTTGCTTTTCCTTAAAGTGTAGACTATTTTTGCCTTTGCCCATTTCTTGAAAGTCCTGACAACGTTTCGGGCCCGGTGATCTATGTTACGTCTGCAATGTGCCTGAAGGGTCCAAATGCGAATGAAACGCAATACGGCTCTAATTAGACCAATAAAAGAAGGCTGGTTTGTGGGCTAAAATTCCCATTATCATTCTTAAGTTTTTGAGTTAAAATGTGGTTTTGGGCCTGAAAAGTCAACGGGCACCGTGCTCTCGGCGTTTGGCGGCTACGACCTGTATTCGCGCCCAGATCTGATTGGCTTATCGCGCATTTGCCTTTGTTGTGATTGGCTAGAATTACATTTCGCTCGAAACACTTTATTGAAAACCGTTTTCTAACCTTTCTAACGATTGCGGCGCACATGTTTATAATCTCAATAATATCTTCTGTTTTAAATTGTACATACAGGAAAACCAATCAATTATCTAAGTTATTTAATTATCGATTGAATCATTGTTATATGTTAAGAGTGAAGTTGTTCGTTGTTGTAGTTCAAGTGCTGGTTTGTGTAGTCTATCACTGGGAATATTGTACTAGTAGGCTAGCGAAAATTCATCGACAAGACGTTTTTATTCTGGACAGCACATTTAGATTAGTCTGAAATGGCGAGGCACAGAGATAATTCTTAGATAGTGCTTTTTACATCTTGACGTTGGCACGTCTGAAATTTCTCACTCCATCCAAGATAACGGCAGTCTCGTACCTCGTGTCCGAAAAGAGGTGCGAGACTCAGGAACGAGACATGATGTATCATGTTTCTAAATGCTCGATGATCTAGAGGCGAGTTGTAACTGTGTCTACCCCCTGGTTTCTTATTGAGTCTCCTTTCCCCACTCCTCTAGTTTATGTATAGTGTAAGTATTGTGTAGTATGCTACATCGTACACCTTCGCACAAAATGATGACTTCGTACCAACAAAGTTTTTGTAAAACGGCTGTTTACACAGATGTGGAGCTTTTTATTCCGAATCCGGACTATGAAGTCCTAAATCGTAACCCCTCAAATAGAACTTACTGAACAGTACTTTCCTTTGGTGCTGTTTATCCCTTTAAGCTTTAAGAGTGATAGGCGTCAAATTTCTCCTTGTAATATCACTGCTTTATAAAACAAAGTGGTTATGAGAATTGAGGACATGATCACACAAGTTTAATCTAATTGATTCTTCAACAAATTCTCCCCACTACTTCCACTGAAAACGTATAGGATAACAAATGAGAATTTGAATTTTGATATTTGGGTTCAAAGGGTTGTTACATTGTACGTGGCTGTTCAAACTTTTGCATCTGTAGTATATAAATTTCTGAAAAATTTCTGACCATTCAAATGAAAGCTGGTAGTAGCATTTTGTTGAGGACCTAAAAGTTTGTCAGGAGTTTATAACAAGGCGGTTTCGATCATCATACCCTAAATTTTGTCGAGGATGTGCACTTGGATGTGTTCAGTGTGTAGTATATTAACGTAATATATCAGTTTTAGGTCTAGTGACATACCGTGCTCTTTATTTGAGTACTGTACAGTGGAGTAGTTGTACTGACTGGCCGTGTGTTAGTGTTACTGTGTCTGCCTAGCAACCGGAAATCACGTGACATGGTCTGTGACTATGTCCAGTCCCCTGCCGGTCAGGAATAGTTTTGTGATAGGTTACCTATGAGATCCTCTTAAAAACTTCAGTATGATTATGTCTTGGTTCAGTGCTAGCATGTAGGCCAAATATTTGTATTTCTTACAGAGAAGTTTGGTATGTACAACTCGCAATGACTGTGCAGGAAGAGGCACTTTTTTGTGTTCTTGGGTTAGTTTTGTCTGTAGTGCTACGAATTCTTGTATTTTTCAAATAATTCTTAATTTTGGTTTACGGTAATGCTGTCAGTTATAATTGTAAACCGGGAAGTGGAATAAAGATAATTTAAAGTAAACATCAATTTTCAAAATGGTCTTTATTCATGTTGTGATAGTCTAATGCATATATTTACAGTCGTCCAGTAAGAGACCAGCGCGCTGGGGTCCACCTTATAGGCCCTTTGCAGGTCAGTCACGTGATTGTTCATTAGATTCAGTTTTTTTCTCGTTGGGACTTACAAAGATATAGCTACAACTAGAGATAGACCTTTCGAAGTCCTCGTGAGTTCGGTCCCTGCTGGGCCTTTGAGTATACGCAAGGATGGGTTCTTTCCGATCCCCAAGGTAAAAGGTGCTATCCCCCTAAAATAGCTCAGTATAATAAGAACTATTGTTCAGGTACAAAACCTGAGCTCCTTACATGTAAAGGTTGTTTTTTGGCTGGCAGTTTGTGGTCAACTCGATTCAATAAATCAAACGTTTAATAAAAAGCGATAGTGCCTTGATGTTTGGAATGGGTGCAACCACCAAATGACGTAATACAAAAGATTAAAAAGATACTGAACAATACCTACTACACATTAGCGATCTAATAATGGTTTCTGCAACACCGACAGTTACCCTAAAAAGCAGATAGTTTTGCATCAAGGCAAAGCCAACTTTAGCTTCTCGTGCGCTCAAAGGTCAGGATTTTAAGCACACAACTTTGTTTTTATATTTAGTAAAATCCAACTAGTGGTTTATTATCAATGCTGCGTTCTGATTGGTTGAGCTACTACTAGTCTCTGTGTTATAGCGCACTAGGAGTGAAAAGCGCCGGCGTAGGAAACCAAAACAATGGCGGCTGAATCGCGTTTTGCTTGCTAAAGTTGTTTTGTCTCGATATTTTTGACCAACTAGTTGGATTTTACTAAAAACAATTATTCCTCTCGCCCTCATGACCTCTGAGTCAATAGCCCATATGACCTTCGGCCTCCTGGGCTATTGACTCAGAGCCCATAAGTACACATTGAGGCTGACGTTTAAATCATGCCAACGTAGGAAAACTTGTAAATTCAAAGGTATTTTTGCCTTTATCTTGATATCCTCTCTTAAAATGTCTCATCCTTCACTTTTCGTTTCTGCAATGAAATTAGCAAATTGTCAGTATACTGTTCAGGGAAGAATCAAAGGATGTAAGACCGGTCCAGATAAGTCGGAAAACTTTGTTTATATATATCCTGCGCCGTATACCGCAGTAGTAGTCCTGAGTGGCGAAAAAGTGCATGTCAACGTTTTCTCCTTTTGTGGTTAAAGATTCCAAAAACACCCGCTCACTTAGTTGTCACTCAATTGCAAACAATTAAGCGATGGATTCGTAATGCAATAAATGCAAGTTATAACAGAATCGTCGCATACACGACTTGTAATTTTGAATTTCCCAAAAAATTAGGTCCCACCAGTGAGTGCGTAGGGGAAACAACTGTAGAAATTCCATACTGATAACCTGTCAATACTAAGCTCTGGGTAGCCCTTCCTGATTGGTCGTGCCTCGGGTGAAACATGTTTGCGTCAACCAATCAAGCACTACAGTACCCAGCAAACCCAGCAGATCTAGGGCAATCATCCGAGACCGAAGATTAGCAAAACAACAACTTTACACGTGCATCACGCTTTTGCGTGCATTTTCGTTGCCATCGATTCACACGACTACAGCGTGAAACTACTAATTTCACATCAGTTTATGCAGGACGTGAGCGCTGACAAGACAACGGTTTTACTTCTCTTTTTATGAACTCAGATAGAATCTTTAAGAATTCAACTCCAGAAAAACTCGCCAACATTTTACAAACTGAAGCCGAAGATGAAAGAACAGCGTTGAAGTTTAAAACAGCGCGAACTCACTTTTTAAGTGAATGTTTTTATGTCGCAACTGCCGACTTGATCCNAAGACAACGGTTTTACTTCTCTTTTTATGAACTCAGATAGAATCTTTAAGAATTCAACTCCAGAAAAACTCGCCAACATTTTACAAACTGAAGCCGAAGATGAAAGAACAGCGTTGAAGTTTAAAACAGCGCGAACTCACTTTTTAAGTGAATGTTTTTATGTCGCAACTGCCGACTTGATCCAGTTTAAAACTGTAGAAGCTAGAGGAGGAGAAATTGTTGGAGGGAAGACTTAACTACATCCGTGGAACAGAGTCGAAAAATGGTAAGAGCAGTTTGCGTCTTTTCCTTTGTTAGTTATTATCATTTGTCGATAGAATAATGTGGTTTTCGTTGTCATATAATATGACACGGTTTTGAAACGAGTTTCTAACCGGCCAACACTTCTGTTCATTTTCGGCTCAATATTTCTTTCGTTGGCTTTTATAAACTTAATTTCTCAGTAATGTTCACATACTATGATATCAAAGCTGTAACTAATACCATGCATTTGATTGATCGTTTCCAAGAATGTCGTTGATCCATGCCTGTCGATATTGGTCAGCTTTTTTAACCCTTTCTGTATATTTTCTTTGTGCAGTGGTTTCTGCAAAAAAGAAAAGGGAAAAAGCATGTTAGAAATACGAAAGGTTGATTGTACCAAATGAAAATAATGAATTTGAACCGAAAAAAATTGATGCGAAATTCTCTTTTCCAACACACCACATTTTGGGTAAATTTGTTTTGAACATACGCGAATAGCTGTCGCCATTTGCTCGCTTGAATTTGTTATTGCTTATACAACTTAATATTCCAGCGGGCAGTTAAGTTGCACTACAACTCGCCCGATCTCCGTAATGCAATATTTTCCCCTCAAAAGTTTGCATAGGGATTTGTTTACAGTTTTTCAAAAGACGTTTGTTAGTCTTAAGAGAAATTGAAAACAATACTTATGGAAATTTTGTGGGGAACGTGACAGTCTGGTATTCACCATTTTCATATAGACCATAATACACTCCCAAAATTTTGCGTAACCATATCCTTCGATTTCTCTTGGGACGACTGTAATACCCTAGACTGAATTGGAAACAATGCTGACGCAAAATTTTAGAGATAAGTAAGGTGCATTTTGGTGTATGTGAAAATGGTGAATGCTGCGAATGAATCCACTCCAACTGATTTTAAATACTGTTTGATACAATGAAACGTTGATTGATGTCATTATTATTCAAAATGGTTACACGCGGAAAATTTAAAGCGAAAATAGGCGAAACACCATGTCCAGTTTTTGGTATATTAAAATTTCTTTCCAGATCCGGTCTGGAGAGAAGTTTTAAGTATAACAAAACTAAGTCTTAGGCTATCGCAGTGGAGTCTTTATATTCTATCAAAATGAGACGACAATTTACATGTAATAGTCGTGCAAAAAGTACAGTTCATTATTGGTTGCTGTGAGGGCATATAAGGTCGCTACTGCATCAAAAAAGGTAACAATGATCACTTCCAACCATAACTTAATATACACTTAATATCAGATCCCAAGGGAAACTTTGAGACAAAGTGAGAAATTACCGCAGTCTGTTGGAACAACTCTGTTATTTCGGTGACTCGATTTTCTGCTTTGATCGGCTTGTTTTCGTGATTTATTTAAGACTCGCTCTCCAATGATAGAGACGCTTAAGCCATCATCGATCAGCACCGATGATTTGATCTCCTGAAGGTCGTTTGGTCTTTCTTCTTCTGTTTGTGTTTCAAGACCAGGAAAAGGGTCAGTATCTGGTGTTGTGGCACTTGGGCCCGAGGTCTCTTCAAATTTTTCAGCAGCTGATAGCTCTGTGCCTTGCTCAAAATTCTTATTCTGTGTAAATAAAAGAGATCAATTCAACTAGCTAATAATGCGTTTGAATTTTGAAACAACCGCAGACACTTGGCGATGCTACCACTGGTTTCCCCGCCGAATGACTCTTGAGAAACGAGCGCAGAAATTCCATAACGTGGCACTAGGCAGATCTGGGTAGTGCTTCTGATTGGTCGTGCAGCGAGAGAAACTTGCTTCAACCAATCAAAAGTACTACCAGATCTAAGTAGAGTCACGTCATCAGTATGGCCGGTTTTTCTGCGCTCGGTCCTCGAACGTCATTTCTTGGGGAAACAGGGGGTGGCGTCTTCTCATGCTGGACTCGGCATATATCCTAAAGTTTACCTGCGTTTTAATTATTACGTCAGTCTTTTTCTCGGGTTCGTCTTCTTCCTCCTTTTGTTCCTCTCCTTGAGGTTCCTGTTCGGATTCTCCAATAGCACCAGAAACATTCAAATGCAGTTTTGTTGATTCACCACTAGATTTTTCATCCTCTGAGACATTTTCGTGAGTTGCACTAGCTACTGCGATATCTTCAACACTGTTGTCGAGCGCGTACTTTTCGTGCCGATTTATGAGCTGGAAAAAAAAGATACGTAATGAAAATACGTCTCAGGCAAGCAAGCAAACATTGACGTTAAAAAAGGTGAAGTAAACAGAGACGGTATTTTGATCGAGTAACAGACTAAAGGGCCTGAAGATTAAAGACGAAGGATTACACGCGCTGCACATCATCGACGCTACTTGAAAAAGGGATATAAGTTTTTTATTTTCAAGCCAATAAAAACGCAGTAGCATTCATAAGCGGTGTGAGGTGGAGATAAAACTGACCTGACCTTAAATGTTCAATCTGATCGGCCAAAACGCGTCAAAATGTACGCGTTTTCAAACGAAAACGCGTTTGTGTGGACGGGGCCTAAGTCTAATAACGAGCCACTTATCTACTTGTAATGGAAAATTTGTCGGCCCAACATGAGTCAAAAAGCAACTTATCCAATCACAAGCTCCTACCTCTAGCGGTTCGCCGTTGTCGTCCTTAGGAAGCTGAACGTCCATTTCTAACTCGTTAGTCATCTCCGGGACCACTGTTATTTTCTTTTTAGCTTTGCTACGGACAAATGCCGCCAGTAATATCACCACAAGAACAGCTCCAAGGCAAGAAAGAACTATGACCAGTATCGGGGTCTCTGACTCAGCTGTGTGAGGAAAAGTTCGAGTTAAATCGAATGAAGCTCTTTGCAATTACACCCATCTTGAAGAACAATCTAAAAACTGTTCAACACACTTTATTTATTGCTTTCATCAAACACATACAAAGTCTCGTATACCCGCAGCTAGAAAAGGCGGTGAAAGGTTTTGGCAGCATGACCCTCCTAGATATGTGTAAACGACTTGCTCCATTTCTGTGCCGTTGCTGTTGTTCGTGTCGACACGAAAAGGTATTCGGTATAGTGTATACATAACTCAAACCTAATGCATGAGAAGCTAATTACCTTCACAACTGTTCTTTCCAGGGCATAAGGTAGTTGTAGCTTCATATCTCTCCTTTCCACCAAGTGGTACATTGTTTATGAAAGGATAAAAATAGATACTTTCCTTTTCAGCGCCTGCGCAGCTCAACACAAACTCATCACCAGTCCCATAGCTCGTTATCGTCGTGGTACACTTTAGGAAGGTCATTTGTTGTGGTTTGTTCCTCGGCGCGTACTGAACTAATACCCTTGTCGGTTTCTTCTTGTCTCTCTTGATAACTTTAATGGGATTTCCAAAGCGATCTCTGAGTACCACCACGAACGCAAACGATCCTTTTGCGGTGGTATCTGTTTTCACGTCTTTCACTAAACTTTTCATGGCGTCTATCGGATCTACAACGCAAAACATGAGATTTAATTTTAGTCGTTTGTCCTGCCTCTTTAGTTAAATTACAATTGCAATACAACTTTTTTATCTTTACGTCGGCGAATATGTAATTCTGAGCTGGCGCTAAGTCAGGGCCCAGTTGTTTGAAGGCCAGTTAGCGCTTAATTATAACCCAGGGTTAAATTTTAATCCGGTTTCCTTTTTTCTTTTATTCAAAAGCGTTTCTTCGAATAATTTGTTCTATTCCTTTTTAATGTATCCAATCGTCAAATTGTAGACGAAAAGAGTTAAACCTTTTAATTATTGCTTTTATATCATGATCCAAATTTCGCATTAACCCTGGGTTATCTTAACCCCGCTTTGAATAACCCGGCCAGAGGTGAATGCCTCAGAGGTCCCCACTTTGCAATTAGCTTCAAACTGATCTGTGCAACGCCATTTCAGGCCAATGTAAATTATGCTTGTCAGTTCGATTCGTACAATCTATCATTATTGCTACATGCAGCCTCTTATACGTGATTTAGCAGAGTCATAAAAAAACCCGTAAGACTAGACCTATGTAAAATTTCCCCCTTACCCTACCCTAGTATGTAGTAGTTTAAGTTTGAAGTTTATTGATCTTTTTACGTTATTAAATAAATTGGATTAAATTAAAACACATAATTATTACACATTATTAAACATCCTCTGCTCGCAAATAGCTTGGCTAATCGAGGCGGGCAGAGCAAAACATAAAGAAATTTAAAACAAGGAAGAAATTAAGGAAAAGAAAAGGAAGATAATTCTATATAAATGACACAAGAAGATGGACTGCAGTTATTACAGATACAATGTTACAAAATATACAAACTTATTTTACATTTCTTGTCATCTTAGTTCATCTTGCCTAGTTTATCAATTAAAGTAGGTGTGTCAACATAAGCATCCTCCATTTCTGA